TGTAGACAAAATATTTTACCAAAGGAATATACAGTTACAACCAATCATGGATCCTTTTAGAAACATGACAAGAAATTTCCTATTTATACTTCCTAATACTCAGTAAGTAAATTACTTATTAAAATCATTACTGCTGCCATTTTAATGTAGACAAAATATTTTACCAAAGGAATATACAGTATGTCCTTACAGCATGAACATCCAGTGAGTCCACAGTGAGGTCATATATGTCCATGTTGAGGCTCTGGAAAACCTGCTGGAGGCTCATCTTTTGTCCGTCCTTCTGCAGGACTACCCTGTCTGCATCAGATTTGTATGTTTTCTGAATGAAGGTGAGCAGGTGTTTCTGAGACATGCAAGCAGCTGCGTGGATGTGCGTGTCCACCTGGAAGAACGAGGCCACGTGTTCAGTTTGCTGGTTGAATCGACACGTGAGAATAAAGAAAGTTTTACAAATAAAAGAGACAGGATCTAAAGCCTCGAGTGAACTCATATGGTACTGTAACTTGAAGAAAAGGCTTTCGAGATACAACTAGTACAAGTACAGAATTATCTAGTATCTGATACATTATTGTCACTATAAGTTGTATAGTATATTCAGCATCTTATTCACTATTCCAATAGAGTATAAATTTAATTATTTTTTATATCTGAAGTGATGGTGACACATTTACGACCGACAGGAAACAACCCAGAAATTACTGTGCAGTGAAGCAGTCGCTCTGAATACAATGTTTCAATGGTAAATCCTGGGTCCTGGCCTTTGTGTGGTTGTTACGTTGACATTTCCATCCACACTAAACATTTCTGCAGGCCAAGTACCATAACTCCATCTCAGTGGTAAAGGCACAGCCAAGGACAAGACAATGTGTCTCCACCATGCAAAAGCTCCTCGGTAAATAACACAACAAAGAGATTTGTGTGCTGTTTTCAAACCAAAATAAACTAAACSGGCACACAGAACCCCGCCTCCACCTGAAAAATGACCCGAAGGTTTCTCTGCTAAGTTAAAAGTCACATTTACAGTAAATTTTTGGGAAAAAATGTGCTTTGGAAGTAGGTTTACTATACCATACTTTTTAATTCACTTGAGTAATACTATTATGAAGTATCACTATTCTTACTTCAGTAAAATTTCAGATAACTTTAACCACTCTAAGTAACTTAACTGTATAAACAAACTTGTTTTAACTCAAGGGTGTAACTTTAGGTCTACCATTAGTGGGGGTTGTGCTCTAAAACCCTGCATATCATTTTCAGCTGTTATGCTTAAACGTACATATATGACAGTGTAAATTTTCAAAACAGGTCAAAGTTACCTAAAGACAACAAGAGTTGCATCTGTCTATTTAACCAGTTATTTTTATTGTGTTTGAGCAAATAATGTCTTTTTGACATGATCAAATTATTGTAAGAATAATAACCCCCCCTAACTCCCCCCGCAAACTAACCTGAAAGGCACCAGAGACACAACCTACAGTTTATAAGGACCTCTTGTTACTACATGTATGTTACCTACTTTAAATATTKATAAGTTGAAGTTTAATAAGTTTTGTAAGTTTTGTAATGAAACAAGTTTAACTTAGTGTTTCTTCAGCTGGAAGTTGCTATTTTTTTAATTGTTATTTATTTGTATTAAGTCTCCTCATTTTAGTCGTTAAAAAACACCTGTATTTCCACATAACTTTCCATCGTTTCAGTCTGATGACACCATTTAAAATTATTAAATAAGACGCTATGATCAGTTACTCAGTTCTACTTTTTTACTTTGCTTGAGTAACTTCTTGGACGGCTATATATATATTTTTTTTTTGCTCGAGTAAAAATACGTTGAAGTAGTGCTACTCTTATTTAGTACAATTTCTGTGGTGCTCTACCCACCTCTGCTTTAAAAGGGACAATATTATGTGTTTCTCAGGCATACATTTAAATTCTATACCATAATAAAGTATCTATGTCACCTTTAGTTGTTTTTAAAATGCTGTTTTTATGTTTAAATAGAAAATAAACTTATCTTCTCATCACTTCTTCTAAACGCCTTGAAATTGGCCTCTGTCTCTTTAAGAACCTCCTTCCGCTTCTGCCTCATCAATTTCGGTCGGGGGGGAGGGGGTGTCGCGCGCGCGCTATGATGCAGTTTACTTGGCATCTGAAAATACATTTCCTCAAAGGTATTTTGAATCTGAAAAGAGCTTCACTGAGTGAGAAGTAATGTTAGGAGCTCAGCAGACAGTTTCAGTTTCACTTTCGGTTTGCTCTGTTACTGCTGAGAGCCTGCAGGAGTCATGGGCGGGGTGTGTGGGTGTGTGTGTGTGTGTGTGTGTGTGTGTGTG